GACCACCTGGATGGTGTCCAGCTGTGAAGTGAGGCGCGACGGGCAGCTCCAGAGGATGAACTATGGCCGGAACCTTGAGAGGCTAGGGGTGAAGCAGCTGGCTTTGGGGACAGGCGTTGGGGTCGGGCTGGTAGGGAGAAGTGGACTGAGCACGTCCTGGCCCCTTGGTTGTAGGTGGGGAGCCGTGTGGGCATCCGTCGGGGGGCAGATGACACGATGCACATCCTGGTAGATGGAGAGGACATGGGACCTGCAGCCACCGGCGTTGCCAAGGTAGACCTAAGACCTTCCTTGGGTTTTGGGAGTGAGGCGAGAGCTCCTGTTGACCTCCGACTTTCTGTGCCTTGTGTGCCCCCAGAACGTGTGGGCTGTGTTGGATCTGTACGGGCCCGTACGGAGTGTATCTATTGTCAGCTCCACGAGGCTGGAGGAGCCAGAAGGCACCCAGCCTCCATCCCCTAGCTTGGACACCGGCAGTGAGGGCGAGGAGGATGAGGAGACCGAGGAGCGTGGCCTGGGAGTAAGAGGCTGCAGCAGGGCCTGCTGGGCTCAGGGGTGGGTGGTTGGTGGCCACTGGTGTCTCTGATCCAGGTTACCACCTGGACAGGCAGAGGCTCATGCTCAAGCTCAGCGTAAACTCAAGAGGGGTGGGTCAGGCACAGCCTCAGCCACCCTAGCAGCTCAGTCTCTTCTCCACACCAGGGCCAGAATCAGGTGGCCATTATGCCCACAGCCCTCGAGTTCTTGGAGAACCATGGGAAGAACATCCTGTTATCCAATGGGAATCGTACAGCCACGCGGGTGGCCAGCTACAATCAGGGCATCGTTGTCATCAACCAGCCTCTGGTGCCCCAACTGCTAGTCCAGGTGGGCCTTGCTTCTGTACCCCTGTTGCTTTTGTTCCAGATGTCCTAGAGCCAGCCTTCCTGGAGAAAGACCTTCCCAGGTTTAAGCAGAAGTGGCAGGCAAACCCTGTGGATGAGCTTCCTGGGCTTTTGTTCACACTCTATAGTGGGGGTTGTAGATCAGTTGCCACAGAGTTACCCCCCTGGAGTGCTAAGGGCTATGGTGAGGGAAGCAGTGAGGAGGGGCTGGGGGAGCCCAGAGGTGATGCTGGATCCTGGGTATGAGAACAGGGAAGGAGGAGGGGGCCTTTTTGCTGCAAACTGAAGGATATATCAAGGTTAGCCAGATAAAGGAAGCCCCTGGGGATGAGGGTCCCTGCAGAGAGAACAGCAGGACCAAGGCCCAAGGGGAAGGGAACAACTGAATGTGCAGTTCTGGTCCCTTCGAGCCTGAGCAGGGGCAGCATCGCGGGCCGCATGTGGGGAGGTGCCGTCTTTCCTCCCTGGTGGGTGAGAAGCCTGCTTCTGTTTGGTGGGTGACCTCTTCCCGGGAGGCCCTGACTGGGGTTAGTTGCCGTCTCTCCCAGGTGCGGATAGATTTCCTGAACCGACAGTGGACGTCTTCCCTTGTCCTGGGAGTCATCACCTGTCCACCGGAGAGGCTCAACTTCCCTGCTTCTGCTTGTGCCCTCAAACGGGCAGTCTGGCTGCTGCGGGGCCGTGGGGTCTTCCATAACGGTCTCAAGGTGAGGAGGGAGCTAGAGAGAAGGGAGAGGGCTAGGCCTCAGGAGAGGCTGGGCAAAAGGGGGAAGTCGGAGTGTTAGCTCTGGACATAGGACTGCAGGAATGAAGAGGCACTGTGCTCCAGACCTGGCCCTATACTGGGTGGGCAAGGGCAGGAGTGTCACTAACTGCTGACCCCCTCCTCCTGTCCCTGCTACCGAGAATGTTACGGCTGGGGGAATGGAAGATAACGGAAGCGAGGGGCAGCATGGAGGCAAGCCCAGGGACTGGCACTGCAGCTGGGCAGAGGCGGGGGCTGCTGGTGGAGGCTGGTTTCTGGAAGATAGCAGGTCTCTTCTCCCAGATTTTTGAGAAGTTTGGGCCAAATCTGGACACGTGTCCTGAAGGCACCATCTTGGGACTGCGGCTGGACAGCTCCGGGGGGTTGCATCTCCATGTCAATGGGGTGGACCAGGGGGTGGCTGTGACAGATGTCCCCCAGCCCTGCCATGCACTCGTGGACCTCTATGGGCAGTGTGAGCAGGTCAGTGCCAACGGGGGGGTGCTTGGGAGACTGGGCTGTTGGAGTGAGGGGCAGGCTGTGGTCAGGGAAGGGGCTTAGCAGGCCCGGAGGCTGCCCAAGCTCTGCTGACCACCCTTCTCCCCTGCAGGTGACAATTGTGAGCCCTGAACCAGGGGCTGCCACTGGCAAGGGTGCTGCAACCCAAGGGGACATGGAGAAAGCTGACATGGTGGACGGTGAGGCAGCCTGAAGGGACCAGGCTCCGACATCCACAATCCCCCACACTTGTAGGCCCTGCTCTTGTGACCAATTTCACTTCTGCTCCCTCAGGTATCAAGGAGAGTGTATGCTGGGGGCCACCCCCAGCTGCTAGCCCTCTAAAGAGCTGCGAGTACCATGCCCTTTGCTCCCGTTTCCAAGAGTTGCTGCTGCTTCCTGGTGAGTCCCCAATCCCTGCGTGAATCCACCTCATTCCCAGGCCGGTCCGGGGCCATGCCCTGAGCCCCAGAGACCAGTCGGGAGCAGGGAGTGTGGTTGGGACCCACGGCGGGAGCCACAGCGTCAAGCCCGCTGCACGCTCTTCCACAGAGGATTATTTCGTGCCTCCGCCCAAGCGTAGCTTGTGCTACTGTGAGTCTTGCCGGAAGCTTCGAGGGGATGAGGCCCACAGGCGCCGAGGAGAGCCTCCCCAGGAGTATGCCCTGCCCTTCGGCTGGTGCAGGTTCAACCTCAGGTACCTGCGGGTAGGGTCATGCATCCCCCTTACTGTTCTTTGCTTCCTTGAGAAAGGCGGGTCCCACAAGGGTGCCTGGAAGAGGTATAGGACTGCCTGTCTAGAGGTGACCTTGGGGAGCCAGTAACCATTGCTTTGCCCCATCTCTCCACCTCTTAGGGTGAATCCCCACCTGGAGGCTGGGACACTAACCAAGAAGTGGCACATGGCTTATCACGGGAGCAACGTGGCAGCCGTACGCCGGGTGCTGGACCGAGGGGAGCTGGGAGCAGGTACTGTGGAGCAGGCACAGGCAGGGCAGGCTGGGCCTGTGGGCCATGGAGGAATGAAAAGGGCTGCCTTGACCCAGTTGTTCCCACAGGCACTGCCTCCATCCTGAGCTGCCGGCCCTTGAAGGGAGAGCCTGGGGTGGGGTTCGAGGAGCCTGGCGAGAACTGTGCACCTCCTCGGGAGGAGCAGCCCCCTCCAGTGCTGCTTTCCCCCTCCCTTCAGTATGCTGGGGCGGAGACCCTGGCATCCAAAGTGCAGTGAGTACACGGAAGGTGTGGGGGGTCAGGCCAAGAGGGAGCCCCAGGGCCACTTGGTCTCTGTGCTTTGCCCTCCCCTCTCCCTACCTGGTCTTGCTGAATTCCTCAGTTTCCTGAATGTTCCTTTTTTTCATTCATTCATTGAACAAACAGCGCTTAACTTTGTACTACCTCAGTGAACAAAAAAAGGAACCCATCTCTGCAATTTATGTCATCTATCTCTAGAATGTGTTTATGTGTAATAAGTATTTAGCGTTTTTAAAGGTGATAAGAACTGTGGGGAAAAAAAGGAGAGTGAGGTGAAGTGGACTAGAAGTGCTGTTGGGGTGGGCATTAAATAGGGTAGTCAGAGTAGCATCATTCATAAGGTGAGACTTCAGGAAGATTTGAAGAAAGAAGACTTGAAAGGGGGCACAGGCAGAAGCAGGGAAGTTGAGCCTCTCTGGTGGGCAGGTGACTCCCAGGACAAGGAGGGACATACACTCTTAGCCAAGCAGGTATTGGGAGAACGATGTTAAGTATTGAGAACAGTTAGTCCCTAAGGTAGGAGTATTCTAGGAACAGCCAAGACCAGTGTGGTTGGAGCTGAGTGCACAAGAATTGAGGTGATGGGGGCCAGAGGTCTCACTCCCCTATCTCTTGCCTGACAGATTCCGGGACCCCAAATCCCAGCGCACGCACCAGGCCCAGGTGGCGTTCCAGGTGTGTGTGCGCCCTGGCTCCTACACCCCTGGGCCCCCCTCTGCTGCCCTCCAAGAGCCTCCTGACCCTCACTTCAGGCCAGCTGAACTGGAGTGGGTGACCAAGGAAAAAGGAGCCACACTCCTCTATGCCCTGCTGGTACGGGTGGAATGAGGGGTGACACCCCACTACTGCAAGCACAGTTGGGCCCTGGGCCCATGGACTCTGGGTGACGACTGCCTCCACCTCATTCAAGTGACCCATGGCATGCACCGGTGGTCAGTCTTGGCAGATGCGCAGGAGCGTGTAGGCAGGCTCGGATTTAGGTGGGAAGTGGAGCACATCTCCATGACCAGGGGCCCAGAACATCCCTCTGATGTGAGGGGGCCTGTGGGGAGCCCAGCTCCAGGCCCTGGGTACCCCTCTTCATGCACTGATTTGGGGAAAAAGACTCCCTTTCACTCCCCTCCCCATACCACTTAATTTATTTCCGTTTTTTTTTTCTGGTTACTGTGAATCCCAGAGGAGTCTCTCCCTGTGCCCCACATGAAGCTGCTTTTTCCGGGGGCCATCGGGCGGGAGTAGGGAAGGGCGGGCGAGGTAAGATGGGGCCCTCTGTACAGTTGTTACTGATTTCTAAGGAGCCAATAAACACCGTCTCAGAGTATCCGCCTCCGCCTCTTCGTTGCGCGCGCCTCGGTGGAGCCCCTACCCCCGGGGCTGCCTGCAGTGCACTGGAACCTGGAAGGGCAGACGGTGGAGCGCAGCCCCGCGAAGTAAAGGGCTGCGGGCCCGGGTCCGGCTCCAAACCACCTGCAACGGTGAGATGAGAGCCTTTCACAACCGGCCTAGAGCTGCAGCCAGGGATCGACGGGCGCCTCGCATGGCTCTGTGCTGGGACCCAGGCAGAAGGGTTTGGACGCCACGGGGACCCGTCACCCGGCGTCTCCGCCTGTTTCTCTCCACCCAACCCGCACGGCTGCCTGCATTCTTGACTCCGGAAGAACTAGACCTAGTTGCCGGATGTGACGCAAGTGGCTGAGGCGCGCAGGAGGCCGCGGAGAAAGCGAAGAGCAGGCGGGTAGGGAGGGGCCGGCGCCCGGGGCTGGCGAGGAGGGGGCGGGAACGCCAAGGCTGGAGCCCCTGGCCTCGCTCGCGCACGTGGCGGGGCCGTAGCTGCGGCCGGGCTAGGCGTCCGGGACACGTGACCGGGGCGGCGGGCGGGCGGGCTTCCTCTCGGCCGGGTGCGGTCCCCTGAGAGCCCGCCTCCCCGCAGGCCCCGTCTGAGGTCTGGCAGTCAGTGATAGAGCCGGGCGCCCACGGCCCGAGCGTCCCCAGCGGCACCATGCCCGCGCTCCTGGAGCGCCCCAAGCTTTCCAACGCCATGGCCAGGGCGCTGCACCGGCACATCATGATGGAGCGGGAGCGCAAGCGGCAGGGTGAGCTGGGGCTAAAGCGGGCGGCCCACGGGCCAGGAAGGCACCACCAGCCCAGGCCTGACGTCCATCCACGGGCAGACCCGTGTGCCGGCCGCCGAGACTGGAGAAGGGATGAACAGCCTGTCGTGTTTAGAGGCTGGGTCTATGCTCCAGAACTCTTGAGCTGGGAAGGACCTTGGAGAGCACCTAATAAAACCGTCCTCTCCCTGTCCCCTCTTTCAGGGATCGGGAAACCTATGCACTCAGGAGGGAAAGCGCTATTACCAAGGGCATACTGGAGCGTTGGGATAATTTGTTTCTGCTGGCTTTCAGTGTCTAAGTTTCTCCTATTTTAAGCACCCTGCCACTTCCCCATTCTGCTCGACTTTCTCCAGAGGAAGAAGAGGTGGACAAGATGATGGAACAGAAAATGAAGGAAGAGCAGGAGAGGAGGAAGAAGAAGGAGATGGAAGAGAGAATGTCACTAGAGGAAACTAAGGAACAAGTACGCAGTCCCTTGGTCCCTCCCAGCTCTTTCTTCCTTTGGCTTTCCTGCCTCCACCTTCTCTGTCCTCCACTTCCAGATCCTGAAGTTGCAGGAGAAGCTTTTGGCCCTACAGGAAGAGAAGCACCAGCTTTTCTTGCAGCTCAAGAAAGTCTTACATGAGGAAGAAAAACGGAGACGAAAGGAGCAGAGGTGAGTTCTGAGAGCTAAAAATAAAATTGGGAGGAAAGTGGAACTGGAGTTAGGTAACCAAAGATCAGTGTTTAATGGCAAGAGGGGGCACCTGTCCTTGACTTTGACCTGCTGCCTTTCACTCCAGCGACCTGACCACCCTGACATCAGCTGCATACCAGCAGAGCCTGACTGTTCATACGGGAACGCACCTTCTCAGCATGCAGGGTGAGGGCAAAAGAAACCTTGAGACAAAACCCTCCTGAGGGTACAGCCTCCCATTTCAGCGTCATGAAGCCCCTGTCCCTTTCTAGGGAGCCCTGGAGGACACAATCGCCCAGGCACTCTCATGGCAGCTGACAGAGCCAAACAGATGTTTGGACCTCAAGTGCTTACTGTGAGTAGAGTAGGGTTGAGTGCCTAGCTATTACTTTTTCCTACTGCTGCTTTCACCCAGACCTTGGCATCCTTGCGCTACCAGTGTTGTAATCATGAATTATTAAGCAGAGGGGGAAATGGGGCCTAGAAAGATATGCACGGGTCAGAGCGTCTGCTTTCAAGAGGGTTGACAGGCAGTTGAGTTCTTCCTCTCCCTCCGTAGACGCGGCACTACGTGGGTTCAGCAGCTGCTTTCGCAGGGACCCCAGAGCATGGGCAATTTCAAAGCAGCCCAGGAGGTGCCTATGGGACTGCTCAGCCCCCACCTCACTACGGGCCCACACAGCCAGCATATAGTCCCAGTCAGCAGCTCAGAGGTGAGTGATGGGAAGAGGGAGGCCCAAAGAGAAGAATGTTATAAATGGAATAAAAGGAGGTTCTAATGGCTGTGCCCGCCTTTCTCAGCACCTTCAGCGTTTCCTGCAGTACAGTACCTGTCTCAGCCACAGCCACAGCCCTATGCCGTGCACGGCCACTTTCAGCCTGCCCAGACAGGTGATAACACCCCACGCAGGGCCCCAGTTCCACGGGTCTTCCCTCTCTCTGTCCTATTCTCTGTTCATCCTATTTTCTGTTCATTTCACAAACTGCTCTAGGGTTTCTCCAGCCTGGGGGTGCCTTGTCCTTGCAAAAGCAGATGGAACATGCTAACCAGCAGACTGGTTTCTCTGACTCGGTAAGTGTGGATTCACAGGCGGCCAGGATACAGGCTATGCCAAGAGGCGGCCCAGGCTGCCTCAGGTCCCAATTCTGTTCTCTTTCAGTCATCCCTGCGCCCCATGCACCCCCAGGCTCTGCACCCAGCCCCTGGACTCCTTGCCTCCCCCCAGCTTCCTGTGCAGATGCAGCCAGCAGGAAAGGTGAGGATGGTAATCAAATAGAATCTCTACTGGGAAGACTGGATTGGGTAGGACAGGTGGTGCCACACCTCCCTACCCAGATTATTCGTTTCTTCATGAGGGTGGATACCAGTAAGGGTATCAAAATGGAAGAAAGGTGAGTCCATACACTGATTAAGTCCTCATGTCATTACCACTACCAGTCGGGCTTCGCAGCCACCAGCCAGCCTGGCCCTCGGCTTCCTTTCATCCAGCACAGCCAGAACCCACGTTTCTACCACAAGTGACCAGATCCTATCTTCACTCTTGCCCCCACCATGTGTGAGGGCGCCCCTCCATGTGTCCCAGACCAATAAAATCGACCTGCCACTGCCCCTGGCTGCTGCTGTTTGTGTTGCCTCCAACCCGGCTGTTTGGAACAGGCCAGGGCTGCCTAGGGGTGGAGGGGCAGCTGGCTGGTCAGATCAAGTCACTGGGACGACAGTGGGTTGCAGTTTTAACTCAGTGGCAAATTCAATTTCTGGCTTCCAGACAGCAAATTAACCCATTTATCTCAAATCCCCAAAGAAGCAGCTGAGTTGGGGACTTCATATTAAACTTGTTTTATTCAGGTTTGATTTTAACAAATGTGTCGGGGAGAGGGCCCGCAGGAAAGGGTGAAGCCCGTGGGGGCAGGGCCCTCCCAGATGCCTGAGGAGGGAGCAGGTCCCCTCCCCTCCCCTCCCCATCTAAAGGGGCTTGGGGAGAGATATACGCAGGGGAGGAGGCTGGTCCCCAGTCTGTGGGGGTGGTGTTTGGGGGAAAGGGCTACAGAGAACAGGGGACCAGACCAGGGGTAAGTGAGGGACAGGCAGAGGACCATTTGCCAGAATCCACAGCATTCCGATTCCAGATTGAATTAAAAAAAAACAAAAAAAAAAAAAAAA